ATGTCGTCTCCAAATGCATAAGAACCAACACACGGCAACTGCTTTGGGGGCGTGGGTGGTGATTTAGAATATTTATAGTCCTAAGCATCAACCAATAATAAAATGAATTCAATGAAAGCCTAATTTGAACGAGTTCATTATTTATTCATGTTTGTCACATTTGAAAAATTCTTTGTAAAGAGTATAGCACATGTTTGTGAATAGCATGTTTGTTCTCATGTGGCTTGTGTTTGGTTTGCATTTAGTTTGAAATAGTTAAAAAAATATTATATTTCAACTTTTTTAAATAAATCATAAAAATAAATAACAAATTTATTATTAAAATATAGTCATAAAAAATCATTTCTCTTGGCTCAGTAGGAAAAATTACTATAAAATAATGAATGCAAGATTAATAAAATACAATTTCCATGATCAGCAAGCTCTTCATCAAAACCACAATTTTTTGGTTATTACAATAAGTGTGCAGGTCATTTGGATACAACAAAATGAACATGTCCAGCTTGCATACTACAAATACATGTACATAGTTTCTCTTCCTCAGTTTCCTGCTAGAGTATTGCATACAGGTCATTCATCTGATGCTTGGATCCACTTTATGATTTGCTTACTCTGCCAACAAAATTTACATTCTGATCATCTGCAAATATTCAAATAAAGTTGAGTAAGTTTTATTGAATTGGGTTAAAGTAGTAATTAATTACCAGCATTCATTGGCCTTACGGGTTAGAAATATACTGACCACATGCAGGTGAGCAATCTTCTGCTAATCAGGATCCTTTAAAACTTTTATATCGCTCCATCAATTCTGGATCACAGTACCTGATTAATAGAGAATGCAAACTGGGAGGGAGGTCTGGCAATGATTTTAGGAGTGGATTTCCTTGTAAGTAAAGACTTTTGAGGGAAGAGGTGGACAAAGAAGATGGCAGGCACTGTAATGCTTTGAGATATGAAAGGTCTAAATGTTTCAGAGAGGTGGGGATGTTTGGCAATAACTGCAGAGATTTCAGCCCTATCAATTGTAGCTTACAAAGGGATGAAGGGAGGTTTGGTAATTCTTGGAGCCGACGAACATCCATAATTGTAATATCTTGGAGAGAAGAAAGACTGGACAAGCAAGAAGGCAAGCAATCTAGGTTCTTAAGGTCACGTAGGATTAGCCAACATAAAAAAGGAGGGAAGTTTGGCAATGATTTGAGGAGTGGAATGTCCTCTAAAAGAAGATACTTAAGAGAATAGATGGACGACAAAGAAGATGGCAAACATTGTAATGATTGGAGGTCTATAAGTTGTAATTTTTTTATAGAGGTGGGAAAGTTTGGCAGTAGCCGAAGTTGATTAACACTAATTATGGATAGAGTCTCAAGTGAAGAGAGGCTTGTCAAAGAAGAAGGCAGAGATTGTAGTGATTCAAGATCTGTAAATTTCAGTTCACAAAGGGATGAAGGGAGTTCTGGTAATTCCTTGAGGTGAGCATCACTAATAATAATGTTTTGGAGATAAGTAAGGCTACGAAGGCAAGAAGGCAAGCAATACAGGTTCTCACAATAAATTCTCATCGAACGCAAAGAGGGAGGGAGGTCTGGCAATGATTTGAGGAGAGGAATGCTTTCTAAATCAAGGACCGTGAGAGAAGAGATGGACAAAGAAGATGGCAAGCATTGCAATGATTCGAGTTTATAAAGTACTAATTGTTCCAGAGAGGCAGGGATGTTCGGCAACATTTGGAGTTGAGGAGCATTTCTCACGCGTAGAACCTTAAGTGAGGAGAGGCTTGGCAAGGAGGAAGGAAGCGACACCAGGGATTTGAGATACAAAAAGTACAACGTATGAAGGGATGAACTAACTTGATGAAACCACTGCTCTGCCTCAATTGGAAATGAAGCCAACTCATCATTCCTTTTAATTATCAGCTCTTGGATGCAAGAGTTGCTAGCACATTGAAGCCAATTAAAATCTTTCCACCTAATGTTATCAATCTCCAATTTTTTGAGCTTAGGAGGCAAAAAGGGCAACTCTTGCAAATTTTGGCAGTCTTTTAGGAACAGTTCAATTAAGCAAGGAAACAAACAGTCACCTTCTGCTACTGATACTGCATCAAACAATTCCTCTAATACTTGCAATTTATCAATATGTAGCACCTTTAGTGATGGAAAGAAGCAATCTTTGCCATTTGCATAAAATTTATTATCAAGCCGTTTCACTTTCGGCATGTCACGAAGAATGAGCGACTTAAGGAATGGAAGCTGCCCAAAAGGTGGAAGAGTTTGCCACTCCAAGCACTCATCTAGTCGAATGTATTCTAGATTTGAGATCAAATTTATATCGTTCATCCATATTGCAGATCTGGCACCCATGAATGAATATATCCGCAATTGCTTTAAACTATTGTGTGGTTGAAGATTGTCAAGCACTTTCTCATCTAAGTAAGGATCAAAACTTCGTCGTGATGTTGGTATAGTATTAAATGTATAAGTTGATATAGAACGCCCCCAATGATGGCCATTCCATTCTAAAGACAAATCCATGAGATTCCTCTTCTGATATAATTTGGCACTACAAGCCTCCTCGGCATCCTTCACATTTTGAAGAAGTTTGATTCTTAACTGGCGAAGATCATTCATATGCTCTAACTCCCCAATTTTATAACCAATTTCATTCTTAATATAAAACCCATCTAGCCTTTGAAGAGATTTTAGCTTTCCAATCCCATGCATCCCAGGAATGACATCCCAAGTCAATTTCAAGTCACGTAGATTAAAAAGATTATTTAAATCCTTCGGTAAGAAATCATTTTTAATATGCAAAACTCCTTTATCATATATTATAAACATCAAGTGATAAAGATTGCTCAAGGATCTTGGCAGTTGAACAACACTACTCATGCCAATCTTCAAATATCGAAGATGTCTTAAATATCCAATTGCCTCGGGTATCATTGTAAGGAGTATATTGTCTATGCACAACAAGCGAATGCTTCTCAATGTTTCAAAAATTTTAGTAAGTACATCAATAAAATCTTGACCACCTTTGCTATAAGTTAAGTGAAGTGAACGCAAATTTTTGAATTTCTCAATCTTTCTGACCACTTCTAGATTGTTAGTTTTAACAGCCAAGTGTCGAATGGTTTCAGGAATTCTACAAGACAACTCATTTTCACCCGCAATTTTGAAGCATTCTTGTGCAGAAATATATTGTGCCAGTTCTTGTAATAAATCATGCATTTTGTAAAAATTACCATATTTATCAAAAAATGATTTCTTAACCAAAGTATCAAAATACCTTCCTCCAATATCCTCCAAAGTTTCTCCTTGATTATAAGATGACTGAATGAAACCCAATGCAATCCACATTCGGACTAAATCATCTTTATCAAATTCATGATCTTGTTGGAATATGCAACAAAATGTGAAACAACTTTGTAGAGGTTGTGGGAGGTATACATAGCTCAATCTTAAGACCGGCATGATATCATTTTGACCCAATTTTATAATTCCAGTATCACAATCCAAAACTTTCCTCCAATGCATTTCATCCAAATTAGAATTCAGAATACCGCCCATGACCTTTGCTGCTAACGGAGACCCCGAAAGCTTTTTAGCTATCTGTCCAGTAATAAATCTTAACTTTTTATGATCATCAAGATTCTCTACATCAGCAAATGCATAGGTGTTGAGGAGCTGCAAACATTCATCCTCATCTAAGCCTTGTAATGTCAATGTTTCTTTCTTCTTTTTAATCACTTTTGCAATTATCGATGCAGCAGAGTCCATCCGAGTTGTTACCAAAATTTTACTTCCCAAACTTCCACAAGACAAAGGGGCGAGCACATTCTCCCATTTACTTTTATCCCGTTCCTCCTCCTCACCCCAAATGTCATCAAGGACCAGTAAGAACCTTTTGGACATCACCTCCTCCTTAAGTTTCCCTTGAAGTGGATCAAGTGAATCCAAATTAGGCTTCTCCTTTTGAATAGATTGCAACATATCTGCAATGACTTTTTGCGCATCAAAGTTGTTGGAAACACAAACCCACATTTTAAGATCAAATTCCTCTGTCATTTCATCTTCTTCATAGACATGTTGCAAGAGAGTAGTCTTTCCCATACCACCATGCCCCACTATAGATAGAAGAGAAATGTTTCTGTACAAATCAGTTCCCCGATGCTCATTTGATGGCTTCCTCAACCACTGCATAACAAACTCCTTATCTTTGCCTCTACCGATGAGATCATTTCTAGGCAAGGATCCTGTTTCACGTGCTTTGTACAACTCACGCTGCTGCTCCTGCTGCTCCTGCTTTGTACTTTCTAAAAGATGAAGAAAAGTACTAACCTCAGCTGAAACTTTATCAAGTTTCTGCACAACCTCCTTCAGTCTGTTCAAGTTGGGATGCATTTTGATAGCACGGTCACTAGCTATGAAAATTTTGCGAAAACTTTCAATCAGGAAGCTCGCGCTGGAAGACGCCTTTCTTTTCTGATAAAATGAGTGAGAAATAGATCATCAAATAAATATATTTATTTGCAAGCAGTTTCAAATAGGTAGTTGATGATAGAGACCGCACCTTTGTTTCATCATTGTTTTTGGTCAGCTGTTCCTCATGTTTCATGTACTCAAAGTCATCGAGCACATCATCTGCCTCATCAATGGCTTCTCGAAGCTGCCATAGCCATCTGTTGAGAGCTGGGTTTTGATCTATGATCTGCGCTTTGTTGCAAGAAAAGATGACAGATTGAATCATGGGGTGGAGTGTTTGTAGCCTTTCCAGCGCCTCCTTCATGTCAGTGTGCAATCCAACTTGATCTTGCAGGTAATCAAAGCAAGTGTTTCTGATCTTCTCCATGATTGGGCCAAAAAACCATTCTGCCATGGCTTCGATCAAGAAGAAGCAAACAATCAAACTTGACGAGAGAGAGTGAGAGGTGGCTAATGACCGAGAGAGAAGACGAAGCTGCCGCGTAGTCGGTAAGTTGACTCTAAGTCTCTGTTATAAAATAAGAAAATGAATGTATTTTAAAATAAATGAGATCCAGATGTTTGATTTTGATTGGAATATTATTATTTTATTTAATATTTATATATAAATTAAGAAAATGAATGTTTTTTTATCTGCAGCACTGTGCAAATAAGTGCTTATGATGAATAATTTGATACTAATTCATATTATTTATATAATATATTTGAATAAATTTGGATAAAAATTTTAAAAAATCATCATATAATTCATATTATTTATACTATTGAACATGCTTGATTTTTTATTTACAAGTTAAAATGAACAAAAGGTGTTAGAGAAAAGGAAATAAGATTCAAATGAGTCATGCTATTTTCATGTATGTTTAATCATTTTTTTCATCATTAATTTTTTAAATGATTTTTGAGATACTTTATAATCAATATTTAATAATATATTTATCTCAAAATAAATTTAATAGCTATTATTGTTGCGTCCAGGAGTATATATATATATATATATATTGAAAGAGAACATAACAACCATTTCTACAATTTTATCTAAAAAATATATATTTTTTAATGGATAATTAATTTAGGCTAATTAATAGCTAGCATGTGGACCTACAAAACCAAGTGGCCGACAAGTCTATCTTTGTGCATGTGACGTTCTTTTCTTGCTTTGCAAAAAGTAAAAGTATTTTGTTGCTTCAGATTGATGGTCCCTTTTAAAGTTTGTTTCATTTGATTAATGGAAATAATGTTTGTGGACAAGAAATAATTATTTTTTTTTAAAGACATCATTTCATTTGACATTAATGACACTCAATCTAATCTAAAATTATAAATCTTAATTAGCCCCAATTAAGTTGCAATCAGCTTTAATTTCTCCATCCATAATTGTAGGAGGATTCATCATACTTGAGACAACCTAGTACCACGACTTGTAAGCATAATCAATGTACCCATTACAAGTCTTCTGTTGTTATCCACGGGCTAGCCACATTTAATGCAGATCTTCTAGCACTGCTCGTATGTGTTCATACTTATCGCGTTCCTTATGTATTTTGCTTGTGATGTGTATGAGGGTTCTTCTATAGTAGCTCATGGGAGCTTGCATTTATTGTCAATTTCTCCATACATGTTGACCGTGAGGGCACTTTTGCAATCATTGTAATCTACTCATCATGACCTTCAGGAAATTAATACATTTTCTTAACTCTGAATTGCTATTAATTGTAGAAGTATCTCTACAGTCATTGCATGTTGCATTGAGTTTGTAGACAAGAGATTTCATTGTTTGTAATGACTACTATGTCTTCTTGCAAGATTGATAAGGATGTTTCTATCATTGGCATATTATTTGTAGCGCTTGTTGAGATATTCAAGTGCATCTACTTGCAACTAGATCACATATCCTTGGTAGAAATCAATTATTATTGTTTGCATTTTAACAGGTAATGATACCCTTTGATATTAATTACATGTCTTGCATCATTGCTTGCAAGCAATTTCATTAGGTTCATTGTATGTCTACCTTCAGCATTTATATATAACTATTTTATTTATCTACGAGCTAGTCATCGTTGATTGGAGGAAAATATTGATATTCATTTCATGTTCTTTTACACTTGTAGGAGTCATTATGTGCATCATGGTTTGATATGCCTATTTGCAAGATCAATACAAAATGTGACACTTCAATCATCACTACTTCCATGTGATTTGAAGTGCTTGTTGGAACATCTTTATGCATTTGTTTGCAAATAGCTCACATGTAATCTTTGATAAGTGTTGATCAATGATCATGGCAAAGAAGTCATGTGATTCATCACTATTTATAAGCAAGTGGTGTTTGCAAGTCTTTCATTCACCACAAATTTCATATATTTTCTCTTGCACCTAATTTGGATCTTGTTATAAATTATGATCTCATTTTGAGTATAATTTTGATTTGTTGCCATCTTGATTTAAGTTCAAGTTCAATTTGTCGTTGGTCCCAACTCAAGTCCAAATATGATCCCTTGTTATCCAATCTATGTGTCGAAGTAGTTTCATTTGATCCATGTTCTTTTGTCAATTGTTGAAGTTTGAATTAGTTTAATAATTGTTCAAATTAAGTCCAAACAAATTACATTGTAATTGTCCAAGTATTGTGCATTTTTAGACAAAATTCGGAGAGCCTTCTTTTTTTACTCCTCTCTCTCTCTTTTTTTTTTTATCTATATAATGATATATATTATCAACTATTAATAACAGTGATTAGTTATAATAACTAATAATATCAATAATAATAATATAAATACAATTACTATTATTACTTAAGTAAAAAAATGGTAATTAAAAAAATACCTCTAAGCTAAGTTAGAGTAAGTGTCGGGTAGGGATGAAGAGGAGAGTTGGAACAGAAATTTTAGAGGAGTCGGCAAGGAGGAGGTTAGGTGGGAGAGGGTCGGCTGCAGGAAGATGAGGAGTTGCTTACGGCAAGAAGAGCCTAGGGCTTCGGCTAGATTAGAGAGGAAGGTCGGAGGAGTTGTAGCTTCGGCAGTGCTTCGTCTTGCAGACAGAGGAAGATGAGGTTCGGCGTCGGCTTGAGGAGATGGAAGGCTTTGACGGGAGGAAGGGATGGAGGCTTCGATTTAGAGCAGAGAAGGGAGGTCGCAGGTCTGGGAGTTCTGCGTGGGTAAGGAGAAAACGAAGCCTTGTTCTTCGTTTTATCAACGCGAATGGGTGCAATTGAGGGCGAAATTTCTGGGAAGAGATGCAAGCGGCGCTGTGTGAACAAATTCGGAGGGATTAACGCACGATTTGGTACAGGTATGGCAGAGGCATTTAAATTTTTTTTGTTTTCTTTCTTTGGATTATCTGTTGGAGTTCAACAAAAAGAAAGAGAAATAAAAAAACTGACCAAGAAAATAAATGAATGAACTTCATTAGTATAGTATTAAGGTCAATTTAGATTATTTATACCCTTAAGCATCAACCAATAATAAAATGAATTCAATAAGAGCCTAATTTGAGCGAGCTTATTGTTTGTTTGTGTTTGACACATTTGAAAATTTATTTGTTTGTTCTTGTTTGGCCTTTGTTTGGTTTAAATTTAGTTTGAAATAGTGAAAAAATATTGAATTATCATTTTTTTAAATAAGTCATAAAAATAAATAACAACATATGAAATTTTAAGATTTTTTTTTTCAAATGAAAGGTTAGGTTATGATTTTGATTATGCAAAAAATATTAATATGAAACATGCAAGCTGCAAGTTTTCTTTTCACTCAGTAGTAAGAATTATTATAATATAATAGATGCGAGATTAATAAATACAATTTCCATGATCAGTAAGTTCTTCATCAAAACCACACTTATTTGTTATTACAGTAAGTGTGCATATCATTTGGATACAACAAAATAAACAAGTCCAGCTTGCATACTACAAATATACAACTCATAATCTATATATGTACATAGTTTCTCTTCCTCTATTTCCTGTCTGAGTATTGCATACAGGTCATTCATCTGACGCTTGGTTCCTCTTCATGATTCGCTTACTTTGCCAATAAATTTTACATTGTAATCATCTGCAAATATTCAAATAAAGTTGAGCAAGTTTTATTGAATTGGGTTGAATTAGTAGCATTCATTGGCCTTACGTGTTAGAAATATATTTACCGCATCCGCACTCATGGGAGCAATCTTCTGCTAATCAAGGTGGGTTTGTAAAAACTTTGATATCGCTCCATCAACTCTCGATGACAGTCTTCGACAAAGAAGTCTTTTGATTTTAAGCCGGGAGGAAAGTCTGGCAATGATTTTAGCAGCGGGATTCTTCTTAAGTGAAGTCTTTTGAGGGAAGAGATGGACAAAGAAGATGACAGGCACTGCAATGCTTCGAGACCTGAAAGGCTTAATTCTTTTAGAGAGGCGGGGATATTTGGCAATAGTTGGAGCTGAGGAAGATTATTGATGAACAGATATTTCAAATTGGGAGGAAGGTCTGGCAATGATTTTAGGAGCGGAATTTCTGTCAAGTGAAGTCTTTTGAGGGAAGAGATGGACAAAGAAGATGGCAGGAACTGCAATGCTTCGAGACCTGAAAGGCTTAATTCTTCTAGAGAGGCGGGGATATTTGGCAATAACTGCAGAGATTTAAGCTTTGTAAATGCTAATTGACAAAGGGATGAAGGGAGGTTTGGTAATTCTTGGAGCAAAGGAACTTTATCAATATTAATTTTTTGGAGAGAAGAAAGGCTGGACAAGCTAGAAGGCAAGCAATCTAGATTCTCAAGGTCACATAGGTGAAGCCAACACAAAGGAGGAGGGAAATCAGGCAATGATTTGAGGAGCGGAATGTCCGCTAAATAAAGATACTTGAGAGAACATATGGACGCCAAAGAAGATGGCAAACACTGTAATGATTTGATATTTCTAAGTGATAATCGTTCTAGAGAGGTTGGAAAGTTTGGCAGTAGCCGAAGTTGAGTAACATCAATTATGGATAGAATCTCAAGTGAAGAGAGGCTTGTCAATGAGGAAGGGAGAGTTTGTAGGGATTCAAGAGTTATAAAGCTCAGTTCACAAAGGGATGAAGGGAGTTCTGGCAATTCTTGAAGGTGAGGAGCATAACTAATACTAATTTTTTGGAGATAAGAAAGGCTAGGAAGGCAAGCAGGCCAGCAACACAGGTTCTCAAGGTAAATTTTCATCGAACGCAAAGAAGGAGGGAGGTCTGGCAATGATTTGAGGAGAGGAATGCTGAATAAATAAATGACCTCAAGAGAAGAGATGGACAAAGAAGATGGCAGGCATTGCAATGTATCGAGATTACCAAGTTCCAATTTTTTCAGAGAGGCAGGGATGTTCGACAACATTTGGAGTTGAGGAGCATTTATCACATGTAAAATCTTAAGTGAGGAGAGGCTTGCCAAGGAGGAAGGAAGAAACTGTAGGGATTTGAGCCCCATAAAGTACAACTTATGAAGTGATGAACTAGCTTGAAGAAACCACTGCTCTGCCTCAATTGGAAATGAAACCAACTCATCATTCTTTGTAATTTTTAGCTCTTGGATGCAACCATTGCTAGCACATTGAAGCCAATAAAAATCTTTCCACCCAATGTTATCAATCTCCAATTTCTTGAGCTTAGGAGGCAAAAAGGGAAGCTCTTGCAAATGTGGGCAGTCTCTTAGGTACAGTTCAGTTAAGCAAGGAAACAAACAATCAACATCTGCTACTGCTGCTGCATCAAACCAATCCTCTAATACTTCCAATTTTTCAATTTCTAGCACCTTCAGTGATGGAAAGAGGCAAACCTTGCCATTTCCATGAAATTTATTGTCAAACAGTTTTGCTTTTGGCATGTTACGAAGAAGGAGAAACTTAAGGTAGGGAAGCTGCCCAAAAGGTGGAAGAATTTGCCACTCCAAGCACTCTTCTAATCGAATGCACTCTAGATTTGAGATCAAATTTATATTGTTCATCCATATTGCAGATCTGACACTCATGAATGAATATATCCGCAATTGCTTTAAACTATTGTGTGGTTGAAGATTGTCAAGGACTTTCACATCTAAGTAAGAATTGAATTATTTTCGTGATTTGTCTGGCATACTACAAGGTCTTATAAGACCCCAATCGTTGACATAAATGTGATTCCATTCTAAAGACAAATCCATGAGATCCCTCTTTTGATATATTTTGGCACTGCAAGCCTCCTCGGCATCCTTCACATTTTCAAGAAGTTTGATTCTTAAGTGGCGAAGATCATTCATATGCTCCAACTCCCCAATTTTATAACCAATCTTGTTCTTAACATAAAACCCATCCAGCCCTTGAAGAGATTTTAGCTTTCCAATCGCATGCATCCCATGAATGACATCCCAAGGCAATTTCAAGTAACGCAGATTAAAAAGATTATTTAAATTCATTGGCAAGAAATCCTTGCAAATACACAAACCTCCTTTATCATATATTATAAACATCAAATGATAAAGATTGCTTAAGGATCTTGGCAGTTGAGCAACACTAGTTCTAGCAATCTTTAAATATCGAAGATGTCTTAAATGTCCAATTCCCTCGGGTATCGATTTCAGGTGTTGATTGTTTATGCACAACAAGCGGATGGTTCTCAATGTTTCAAAAATTTTATTAAGTACATCAACAAAATCTTGATCATCTTCGTTGAAGGTTAAGTGAAGCGAATGCAAATTTTTAAATTTCCCAATATTTTTGAACAATTCGAAATTGTTAGAATTAATAGCCAAGTGTCGAATAGTTTCAGGAATACTATAGGTCAACTCATTTTCACCCTCAATTCTGAAGCATTCTTGTGCAGAAACAGATTGTGCTAGTTCGTGTAATAAATCATGCATCTTATAATAATTATCATATTTATCAAAAAATGATTTCTTAACCAAAGTATCAAAATACCTTCCTCCAATATCTTCCATAGTCTCTCCTGGATTATAAGTTGATTGAATGAAACCCAATGCAATCCACATTCGGACTAAATCATCTTTATCAAATTCATAATCTTGTGGGTATATGCAACAAAATGTGAATCAATTTTGTAGAGGTTGTGGGAGGTATAAATAGCTCAATCTTAAGACGGACATGATATCATTTTGACCCCATTTTATAATTCCAATATCACAATCGAAAACTTTTCTCCAATGCATTTCATCCAAATTAGAATTCAGAATACCACCCATGACCTTAGCTGCTAACGGAGACCCTGAAAGCTTTTTAACTATCAGTCCAGTAATAAATCTTAACTTTTTATGATCATCAAGATTGTCTACATCAGCAAATGCATGGGTGTTGAGGAGCTGCAAACATTCACCCTCCTCTAAGCCTTCTAATTTTAATGTTTCTTTCTTCTTTTTAATCACTTTTGTAATTATCATTGTAGCAGAGTCCATCCTAGTTGTTACCAAAATTTTACTTCCCAAACTTCCACAAGACAGAGGGGCGAGCACATTCTCCCATTTACTTTTATCCCGTTCCTTTTGCTCATCCCAAATGTCATCCAACACAAGTAAGAACTTTTTTGACATTATCTCATATTTAAGACTCTTTTGAAGTGCATAAAGTATATCCAAAGGAGGTCTATTCATTTTAAGAGATTCCAACATATCTGCAATGACTTTTTTCGCATCAAAGTTGTTGGAAACACAAACCCACATTTTAAGATCAAATTCCTTTGTCATTTCATCTTCTTCATAGACATGTTGTAAGAGAGTTGTCTTTCCCATACCACCATGCCCCACTATAGATAGAAGAGAAATGTTTCTGTACAAATCAGTTCCCGGATGCTCATTTGATGGCTTCCTCAACCACTGCATAACAAACTCCTTATCTTTGCCTCTACCGATGAGATCATTTCTAGGCAAGGATCCTGTTTTACGTTCTTTGCACAACTCACGCTGCTGCTCCTGCTTTGTGCTTTCTAAAAGGTGAAGAAAAGTACTAACCTCAGCTGAAACTTTATCAAGTTTCTGCATAACCTCCTCCAACCTCTTCAAGTTGGGACCAATCTTGAGAGCACCTTCGCCAACTTTGAGAATTTTGCGAGCGCTTTGAATCACCTGGAAGCTCGCCTTGGAAAACGCCGTTCTTTTCTGATATAGCTAGTGAGAAATAGATAATCAAATAAATATATTCATTTGCAACCAGTTTCAAATAAGTTGCTGGAGATGGAGAACGCACCTCTGTTTCCTCCATGTTTTTGGTCAGCTGTTCTTCATGCTTCATGTACTCAAAGTCATCGAGCACATCATCTGCCTCATCAATGGCATCTCGAAGCTGCCATAGCCATCTGTTGAGAGCTGGATTTTGATCTATGATCTGCGCTTTGTTGCAAGCAAAGATGACAGATTGAATCATTGGGTGGAGTTTTTGTAGCCTTTCCAGTGCCTCCTTCATGCCAGTCTGCCCTACAAGATCTTGCAGGTAATCAAAGCAAGTATTGATGATCTTCTCCATGATTGGGCCAACAAACCATTCTGCCATTGCTGCGATCAAGAAGAAGCAAACAATCCAACTAGATGAGATAGAGTTTCTTATGGCTTTATATAGTGGCTGCATAAACTGTGCTGCCGTCTTAAAAGATTTTTTTTTCTCATTTTTTTATATTGTTCGGCCGGCTATCCGGGCTAACAACTTATCGAAAAGACATTAGAATATATTAACAGGTTGGGGTTGGATCCAACTCCATATATGAGAGTAGAAAAATGTTCCTATTTGAAAAAATTCGGATTCAAGATGACCCTTTTAATAAACAACTCGAGTTCCTGTCAAAAATTCTGACCTATTAGTTAACCAAGTCATATTCAAACTCACTAAATTTTAATCGGATTAATTTTGAATAGGATCAGAACCTAACCTGTTAATTCATTCTAACACATTCCTCTCTATGAGACATAGCCGGCCTTGCAATATAATTTTTTTTTTTTAAAAAAAAGACTTCTCCTTGTCTTTGTATGAAATTTGCTTCCACTCAAACAATACAAAATATATGCCAAGTAAACTAGTAATTTAGAATTGTTAATGAATACTTGTTGCTCAATTTTCAACTAGAGATGAAAGTACTACGATATAATTAGTAATGTAGAGTCAAAGATGGGACCATTTTAATGAAGTGCCTCGAATAATACCTTGGATTCGTTTGAGACAATTTTCTCAGAGCATCTCCAATCTAAAATCTCATTTTTCACTTCAAAATGCCGTGAAACTGCAAAATGCCACAATTCATCTTCAATCGGACTCCATTTTTCACCCTTTTGCAGGTAACGGTCGCCTCTTCTTTTCCGCGGTGAGTTCGGTAGAGAGGTAAAAATGACGGAGATGAGCAGTGCAACGCCAATATTGGCGTCCCACTGTAAACCCGCAGCCAAATAGCGGAAATTTCGCTGTTCAGCTGGAGCTGGCCGGGAATGCCATTCAAGCGTTTGGAGTTCAGTTGGAGATGCCCTTATTGCTTTATTTTTTATATCATAGATAAATTTTTATTTGGCTACTATTTTTACATTACTTTTAAAATATTGTTTTTAATCGGATTAATTTTGAATCAGATCTGAGCCTAACCTGTTAATTCATTCTAACACATTCCTCTCTATGAGGAGTAATGATTTCTCTGTATGAGTAATGATTCCGTCAGGTATGCTCGGTATTTTTACCGGACGCAATAAAAATTCCTCTATGAGACATAGGCACATAGCCGGCCTTGCAATATAATTTTTTTTTTAAAAAAAGACTTCTCCTTGTCTTTGTATGATATTTACTTCCACTCAAACAATACAAAATATATGCCAATTTTGTAAACTTGTAATTTAGAATTGTTAATGAATTATTGTTGCTCAATTTTCAACTAGAGATGAAAGTATAATGATATAATTAGTAATGTAGAGTCAAAGATGGGACCATTTTAATGAAGTGCCTCGAATAATACTTTGGCTTCGTTCGAGACAACTTTCTCACTGCTTTATTTTTTAGATCGTAGATATAATTTTTCTTTGACTACCATTTTTACATTACTTTTAAAATATGTTTGTATGAGGAAAACGACTTCTACAATAGTTTTTAAATTTTACTTTCTCTACAACATCTTCACAAAGCAATGCGAAAATTGTCAGGTTTCATTTGGGACAGATTTTGACAAACGCGAGTTAGCTGGCATAGAAAAATGAGGGACGGTAAAGTTGCCTCATTCGACGACATTTTATTATTTTATTTTATATTATATTATTTATATATGTGTTCCAATTGTATATTTTGGAGACACCCTACATATTAGCAAGCCTATTTGGCAAGCTGGTGAGCTGGAATTTGAATGAGGATGGGGAGTGGAAAGAAAACTAGAGAGCTAAACAGGTCAAATAAATTATGAATCTTAAATCAACATGGAATTTATCTAAATTACTCTTTATTTTTTTAGAATTTGAAGGGCTACAAGAAAGATTATATCCAAAAAAGTGACCCTTAGAGGTAGGGCCTCCCTGTAGTTGAGCTTGGCGAGCTTGCATGCGAGTGGTCTCTAAGAGAGATAATGAGTATTTATTGAGAGGTATAAGTACTTGAGATACGAAATGAGCATATACGTGAAAAGGTTGGTGTAGCTCCAGTGGAAGATAAGATTATAGAGAGTCGCCTTAGATGGTTTGGTCATATAAAACGACGGCCTACGATGACCCGATTAGGAAAGTAGAGATATTAGATTTGACTTATATTAAAAAAGGTAGAGGTAGACTTAAAAAGACTTGGTTAGAAAATACTAGAAATAAATTTTCTTTTTAACATTTAAACGAGAATTTGACTTTTAACATAACATAATGAAGAAAAATAATTCATGTAGCCGGCCCCACGAAGTGGGACAAAGACTTGATGTTTTTGTTGCCGTCGTCTGAAATTTACATCACTAACATGTTTTATGTTATAATATTTAAAGTGAAATAAAATAATTTTAAATTTGTGTGTAATACAACTAATTCTGAATCTCAACAACTTAATTGGATTAGGCATAGTCAGTTTTACAAATAAACCCTTCTAAATAAAATTTTTAAATTAGCACATACTCTTTACCATTTAGTTTACCATAAAAGTCTTTCTTTTATATTTAAAATTATATTGCGACTCCTCATTTGCAGTCCAAAAACAAGGCATTAATTCTGCATGCTTCCAAGGCTGTAAATAAAAGTCATATTTTCACATCACACCTAATCTGATGTTGCCAAGTTTGAATAATTTATTAATTATATAATTACACATGATTAATGGTGTTATCTTCAAATTATTTATACTTTAAAAATCATATTAATTAATAATTAATAATTGATATAAATATTAAAATTTTAATGACTTTATTTTAGGATATCCATTTCCATATAACTATCTTTTTTTTTTTATGAATTTATTTAAATGTTTTTGAAATAGATCATAAAACCCACAAAAATATTTAAACGTATTTAATTTATTTTCTGTATAATTATTTTGCATTTTTTAATAAATATCTTTTAAAAGCATCCTACCAAATAGCTACTAAATAAAATATTTAAAATATCTAAGAACAGAATTTTATCAAATACCAATGTTAGTTATCTTTCAACATTTAAGTGTCATAATAATATTAAATTAATTAGGTTATTATGGGGCTGTTGAATTCATCTCATAAAAATTTTTATTTTAACAATAAACATGAAAGATTCTAATATCGTTTTATTATTGAATTGATGTCTCATAAATTTTAAGCATACTTCAAACATTTGATTTGAGCTTATTTGTATTTTTGATGTCATTGAGTTCATCTTTTTCGGATGTCCAATTTAATTACATGGTAATAATAATTTTTGATTGGATGAATTTTCTGATGATAAATCTTTAGAAGACATTTCAAAGAATTTGATTGAATGAATTCAATTTGATCCACCGAAGATTTGATTTCAGAGAGATATTGTGTCATTGTCGAGTTCTTGAGGGAGACATTATGAAGTTCATTCTTTAGTTGAATCACGTTGGATCTATTTGTGGATTGAAATCTAGTTTCAAGCATTGCCCAGATCATCGCAGTGGATTCAAGATTGATAACCTAAGGTAGAACCGATTGAAAGATTGTAGAGCAGATAGCTGCGACCATGTTTTGATCCGTGAGGATCCACTGATTGTATAGTGGGCTAGGGATAAAGGAGACATCGGACTGGTGCAGCAGCCGCACCGGAGAGGGTGAAGTTGAGTCAAGAAATTTATCAAAATCCATTGGCGCGAACGCTCTTGATAATCTGAGATCGACAAAGGGAGTAGTTATCAGTGGCGAGAGGAGTAGTAACGATATTCTTGAGATTAAAAACAACGAACTTCAACAATGACTTTATTTAATTATCAAAAAGTCGACAAATTTCTATCTTTGATGGATAGGAACAAAAAATTAGATTTACAAATAAGCCCTTCTAAATTAAATATTTAAATGAGTAATCCCTATCACCATTTATTAGTCGGAGTAGTATTCAGACAAGCGTTACAAGTCGTTCTTTCATAATTCAACTAATACAGCCCATTTGCAGTCAAAAAACGCAGGCATTAATTCTGCGTGCTTCCAAGTCGGCAAATAGAAGTACCTAATCTGATGTAAACCAACTTTTTAAGTAATTTGTTAGTCATAACTACCCTTCATTCTTAAAATAATATCTCATTAATTGATAATTAATTAATAGCTTATACTAATAAAAATATGCGTTTTCTATATAGCATATAATATATTGCATGTTTTTTAATTATCTTAATAGCTTCCTTATAATTAATGATTGTACATGAGAACTTACGATGAGTGAATTTCTGGGAAGTTACTCAACATGAACAAAACCGTGTTTTCGTTAAGCCAAAACGGCCAATATCTCGTGGTTAATAGTTTGGATTATTACAGATAATATTAGAGCAATACACAAGCTGGAAGATATGATTTCTAAATTTAGAATCCTATTTGACTCGTGGATAACTTTGGGTTAAAGATACTGAGTACATTAATTATTTAAATGGGGGGAGATTATAAAACCCCTTCAGAAAATAAAGCTAGGTTCTTAAATATTAATACATCTTTTGGTGTAATGGTTAACATTTTGTTAGAAACTCGAAACTAAGCATGCTCGTATATGAGCACTCCTAGGATTGGTGACATTTTAGAAAGTTGCACATAGGGAACAAAATTATGAAGTTATTAGGTTAAAGCGGGCAATATCTCGATAATTATGAGCTTGGACTGTTACACTCTCCACCGCCGCAAAAGTTCTAACATAACACACACGATATATGTATACAAGGGTGTCAAAAATTGACAGGACTCGAAAACCCGACTATAACACGACCCAAAATTTTTGGGTTAAGGTCAACTTGTTTTAAGGACTGGATGGGTTCGGGTCTCAATTTTCGACCCATTTTGAATTCTAAGTTGGGTTTGAGTCAATTAGAAACCCGATGTTAACTTGGTTTTGATCTGGTTTTGCCCGCAGACCCACCAAACTCTGCACGCCAGTTGCCCTCATAGCTCTCGCCCCGACCTTGCATACTGCTACCTTCGTGGCCTAGCCGGTGCTACTTGCTCATCGTGTCGCCCGTGCACATTAGTGAATGCTCAGTCGCTTAGTGACTAAAGTCCCATAGGCACACCTTGGCGGACTAGGATTTGCTTTCCTCCCATTCATGCATTCCCACAGGCGAGATGTCGAGACTCCCATAGGAGGACAATTAACCACTCAGCCCGTGTACAATGGAAAAAGTAAAAATCAGATACTAGGGTTTCGTGTCAGGTCGTGTCAACTTGAAAATCTAATGGGTTGGGTTTAGGTTGGGTTAAACAGTAGCAGTTTAGTGTTAGGTTCGACCCGAACTCGACCCCCATTTTTGACACTCATATAATGTGAGTGTCAAAAATCATTAATTTATTGCATTTTTGTAATATTAATCATTAAATTTGAATTTAAAATATCCATTGTCATATAATGATATAATCATGTATAACTAATATGTTTTCTAATTATAAATTTGTTTAAATAGTACATCTAATATTACTTATTAATTATTTCAATTGATAAAGTTTTTAGGAATTAATGCCAAGAAATTTCTTCCATCAAATTTATAATTTTTTTCACACAAATTAAAAAAAATATTATTATAAATTAACAAACAACTAAAATGTGACATTATCATCTTCATATTATAATCAGCGCCGCATTCCACGTGGGAATTGATTGCAAGTTTGAAATTGAGAAAAAGGTTCAGAGACTCCTTCAACGTCCAAAATGGGAACGCATGTAATCCAACTCCAACAAGCGAAGTCCACCTAAGCTTTTCACCTTTTCCTTTAATTAGAACTTATTGTTAAAGAAAAATCTCCTATTGTGAGTAAATATTTAGCAAAAAAAAACATTCCATATTTTTATTTAATAAAAATAAATTCAAAATTCATAATACCAATGTTCATTCCCTTTTTCATCAATTAATTTTTATTTTAACATTCCTTTTATTGGATGAATTATAATATATAATAAATACAATATATTTGAAATATTAAAGGTATTTGGATTAGTATAAAATATATGTAGATGATTATTACTTTTTATTTAGTTATAAGTAATCTTACTGTAGAGTAAAACTCAAGAATTACTGTGGTTTGTGGTTTACTCGTAACAGTGGCGGCTAGTGACGATAGCATGCTTCAGACGTCTGGCAGTGGTTAGGGGTGTCAAAATTGTGTCACGGGTTAGGTTCCGACCTTAGACTAGCTACTATTTGACCAAACCCGAATCTGACCTTGCTTTGCAAACGAATCAAAATTTTTAACCCAGACCGGACCAGCACATTCGAGCATGCTACGATGCAGACGAGACATGGACGACACCGATGGAACGGACGACAATGCAGACAACAACAATCAAGGCATGAACGGTTAGACTACAATTGACGATGACACGGACGACGGGCGACGAGTTGACAGTGACATGACGAAATTGCATACGACAAGTCGATGATGGCAATGCACGATGTTTTCGGGTTAACCCAGGTTGATTTTGGGTTTCCGGGTCAACCGGAATCCAACCCGATTTACAAACTGGTTGGAATCCCGTACCAAACCTGTTTCTGAAATGAGTTTACCCTAACTCAACATATTTGGATTGAATTTTTTGGGTTGTGTCAAATATTGACATCTCTAGTTGTGGTGGCCATTAGAAAGCATTAGGAAGGCAACGATGGTGGCAATTGTGAATCATGAGCAACTAGTGAAGCTCGTAGTGGCCGGTGATGATGATGACTATTATAAGTCATTTTATTTAATTAAGAGTTGAAAGAAAAAAAAAAATTATCAAAAATTATAATGAAATTCATAAATTTTTTTAATCTATAGAAGGTAGGAAAATAATTTATTCTTATTTTATAATATTAAATCATCAAAAAAAATTTCTGAAAAAAAAAAGTTGTAATTAAACAAAAATCTAGTTTAAAATAAAATTATGAAAATTATCCCAAGTTGCCTCTTCATCAAACACCAAGCACGTGGTAAACCATAATTGCCTGGTCGATCTTGGTGAACCGGCTTGAAGAAAATTCAATGAATCTCAATTCAAAAATCTATAATTCTATATAAACTCTTGGTCATTTCAAAGCCAATTTCGCCTCTCTCGTTCTCACCATTGCATCTATCCTCTTCAACAACTTCCATCTTTTAAAAACTCCTCTTCTCTCTCTCTCTCTGCTCCATTATAAGCTCCTTGAAGATCTTCATTACTTCAATGGAGAAGCCAGCAAGATCAAAAGGCACAATTGTGTTAAAATATCTCCAAAAAGCTGCAACTTTTACCATCACCAACAATCCCCACAGTCCTAGAGGCGAAAGACTGTCTACGATAAGAGGCTTATCAGGTCCGATAGCGTCGATCATCCCAACGGAAGCTCGGCATAAAAAGAGGAACGATGACGCCTTCGACGAAGAGCCAACTTCGCCTAAAGTCACCTGCATAGGCCAAATCAAGCATAAGAAGACAGCAGGGACGAAAGAGAGGAAGAAGAAGAAAGTCCCTTCTGGTCTTACTCGGATGTTTAGCCAAAGAGTTAGGCCGGATCATAAGGAAGTCATGGAAGTGAAAGAAAAGAAGAAGAAGAAGAAAGAAAAAAGACAGGATCTTGCTACAGATGCAGCAGCTCCAGCTCTTGGCCATCTGAAAAAGTTTGCTAGCAGGCGAGAGTCGTCGTCGCTAGCAGATTTTGATTGGGAGAAAGCTGCAGCGGCGGAGAATTCTGATTATGAGGAGGGGAAAGAAGATCTGATGAATGTTTATCACTCTGCGCCGCTGGTGCTAGGCGGCGATGTAATGGGGGCGGAGCACAAGGAGATTGGTTTGTGGAGGAGGAGATCGATCGCTGCGCTCATGCCGATTGAGGTTAACAAATGAGGATTTTATTATTTGCAGCTTAAGGAAATGAGATTTTACAGGGAATTATTGTTTTATTATAATGAAAATGATGAATCTTCTGTTATTTTTTATTATAATAGTAAAAAAATTCCCTACAAAAATTCTCTTCATGTATTTTGTGTGTTAATTTGGTGGTAGTTTTCTGTAAATTATTTTGTTTTGAATTGTAATTAAGAGTCTGTGTGGGATAATTTTTTCATTGTTTTACTATTTATTTAACAATTATTATTTTATTTGTTTATTACTTTATCATATCATTTCAAAAAAATTTCTATGATGAAAAACTATTTTTTGATAACTAAAATAGTAAAAAAAAATTTCTCACACCAATTTCATAATTAATTT